CAAATCGAGACAAAAGCAAAAGTGAAGTGCTTGTTTTGTGGTGTGTGTGTATGTGTATGTGTATGTGCACGTGTGTGTGTGGAAGGTAGTTGGAATATTGAGAAAACAACCGAAAATGTAATGAAGAACTCATAACAAAAAAGTGCAGATAGGGGGCGGAAAAAGAAAAGAGAAATTTTGGTAGTACATACTCGCATAAAAATCGCTCATACGCCCTGTAGGGCATACCATGACCATGACCTCTACTCTTCAAAAGGACAGCAGAGCATAACAAACATCAAACACAGACTAGATACCAGCGAACACAAATGTGCTGAGCCTACACAGTGGACTGACTGCTCGACTGAATGTTTGACTGAATGCTGGATTGAATGTTTGACTGACTGCTCGACTGAATGTTGGATTAACTGTGGGTGAGACTGGTTGGCGACTTTATTGGAAGGTGCTAGGTAGAAGAAGCCATATGTAGAAGAGAGAAAAGCAATTGCGATAGAGCGCGGGCGGCTGTAAAAGATAAATATGGGTGTGTGTCAATATGTGAGCGAATTTATTTGGGTATGTGCATGATTTAAGTATACCTCTGAATACAGTATGACTTTGAGTTGAGCGTTTCGAGTGCTGCTCATTAAGATTACCAGCCAGCGAGGCAGGCAGCTAGGCAGAGTCGAACAGCGCGCGTTACTCTTATAAAGATATAATAATTCCTCACACACAAACACACACCTTCATACGTTCGTTTATACATCTCTGCTTTCATACAATTTTGCTTATACATATTTTGCTTATTTTTTTGTTGCTGTTCCTTCTTTCCCGCACGGATATCCATAGCAGTTTTATGTTTCCATTACAAATATGTAATGTGTAAAAAATATGTCTACAAGCGTACAGGTGCAACAAGCTGGCGTCAGTGGAGCTATTCACATCTGCACAGGCCTGAATGTAGGCGGTGCATATATGTACATACACAGGCGGTATATATGTAGTATATGGTGTAAAGTAGAATTATGACTGTTGTGTATACTGGCTCATAACTGTCGGTTGTTTACCAACTGTAATAAAAGTTAAAGCAAAAATAATAACAAGCAAAGTTACAACAGCCAACAGTGGTGATTATAATATAACAAACATATGTACATATATACACTCCTAGGCACATATATATGTATAACAACAACAACAATAATGCGCGCCCATTTATATAAATTAACACAATTAATAAACGTGTGGGTTGAATGTATGAGAAACTATTTGGCATTCTTACTTACTCATGTATGTACGTATATAAGTATGTATGTGTGTATTTGCGGTTGAATGAAATATTCGGTTGTACATCTTAATGGACAAAGTTGGTTAAGGCTGTTTAATTGTTTTGGTCTAAGTATATTTTTGCGGAAATACAGATTTACATATGTATGTATGTAATGTATTTAGACATATGAATAAAAATATAGGCATTGTGATGAGATAAATGGATAGCCATGAGACTAACGAAGCACAGGCGTTTGTGTTTTTGGAATAGGTGTTATGTTGGATATCTACTTATAAGTTTATGTGTTTGTTATGCAAAGCCTTATTTTAAAAAATAAATATGTATGTATATATGTTTATAGTAAATACGATTGAACAAAACATTGAAAAAGAATCTATGGATCGAAAATACGCATAATTGCAAAAAAAATATTCAAATCTGTAGTTTCAATCAATCGAGTTTCAGAAATAAGTTAAACAAAAAATATATCAAGTATTTGAACAGTTTTAGCTTTGAAAAGTTTATTTTGGCAAAAAAGTACCGAAAGTAATAATTTTTTCATAGTCACTCGAAAAAATTAAAATATTTTTTTTTTTTAACATATCTGTGAAGTTTCAAAAGTGTGTCACTAAATTAAAAAATTTAACGATTTTCTCATTTTAAAAGTTTAGGATACTACAAAATGTTAATACTAAACGGTGAAAATATTCCTTTTTGTCAAAACCAACCGATCTAGAGTAATAAAATTCGTGTGACACCCAATGAAAAATAATTAAATTGATTTCAAGATGACCATGATATATTTTGATTTCAAAATAATATGTTTTTCGGTGTAGAACAATCCTAGGGGGTGGGTTAGAGCATTACAATTTTGACATTAGTTTTTTTGAGCAACCCTAATATATGGAAATACATATATTGCGCATAAATTATAATATCGTTCGAATAAAACCTTTAAGGTATTCATGGCAATTCTCAATCTTTGAAGAATTGTGACAGAATTCACACAAAATTACATGACTAAAGGAAATAAATACACTTTCGCATATACAATTGATATACATTTTGAGACTTCCAGAATTTGGAAATTCTCGAGGCTCGTCGGAAGTGTTTTCGTTTAAATTCTCCTTAGAAAATTCGATCATATTATCATTCATTTTATCCTCAATTTCAATCTCGAATTCATCTTCTCTTCGTTTTCTAAAAAAATTCTCTATTGCCTTCTTCAAAGCCGTTTTCCGTAAAATTTTTCCAATATTTATTTGTTCCTCTAACAATAACTTAGAGACCTTATCGATTTCAGAATCCCGCTGAATAGTTAGTTATCTGTTTTTTTTTGACTGGCAGCCGATAACTATCATTCATAACTCGCGAAAATTGGGAAGAAATAGCAGCCTCGTCGGAGATTAGAACCGTAAAAAAACCGAAGAAATTCCCATTAAAAAGAACACGTTTCCCTAATACAGCATTATGGCTTTCGAAAGCCGACGTGGCGCTTTTTTTAAACATTCAACCTTTTTTAAAAAGAAAACACACTTAAATTTAAGATTTTTTAAAAAGCGGAGTTAAAAAGTTTTAGCAGTTAGCGGCTCATTTAATAGACAATTTTTTTCATGGAACTTATTTCTGACATATCTTGCATGAAACTGATCTGTGGAACCGTTTGTCTGAATTTACTTCCTTGGGACAAAAATCGATTGATGGCAGTAATTTCTCGCTAAAGCTTGCGTGGAACTTCTGTCACGGTGCCATAGAAGTTATATCCGTGGAAGTTATGTCGAAACCCTGACTTTTTGACGGACATGCCTAATATTTATCACCCACATCTCTCACACCTTACATTAGGCCACCGACGCATTTGTTAACAAGCAGTTGTCGAACCACCTCATATCTGCAGGGAGGGTTTTTTACAGGTAAAGACAGACTTTCGTTGTTGCAACCTGCAAGCAAGGCCTTCTTTGCCTGTTCACGCTTTTTAGGAAAAGCATGGGACTTTACTTCCAAAATGAAATATTGTTCATTAAACACTGTCGTAAAGCTATGCTTCCTTAGCTTGGTGGACTAAAGTTACTCAAAGTACCGCAAACACTAAACTAAGTAAATTGCACATAATGGTTTGCATTGGCATAACAGGAGGTTTGAAGGCCGGTCAGGCTGATGCATTCAGCGCCCACAGCAGCACTGAGAATCCTAAACACCTCCGACCTGAAAATCGGAAATATGACGCGCCACATTAAGTTCCAAAACTAGCAATCTCTGGAAAATTTGAAGTACACGTTGCAAATCGAGCTCTCTGGAATGCAGGGAATCCATGCACCAGATGAAAATGGTAAAACTGGCGTTGGCATATTTTGGACAAAATAGAGGTTCATGCAATAGAAATTTGTGGCAGAGAATGTCTTAGAATCTGCATTATGTCGGAAAATTAGGTTCTTAGATAGTATATGACTGCTTCAATGTCCTAAACGCACTTGGAGCCAATAATAAAGCTTTATTGCGATGGGTACTGGGTCATGAGGGACATGATGAAAAGGAGAAGGCTGGCTGACTAGCGATACAGGGAGCTACCGCAATATTTTATGTGGGCTCACCAAAGCACACATAAAGGGGACCTTAAATAACTGGGTAGGCAAAATGTTCAACAGGTAAGCGATTTATCTGTACTTCAAAATAAGTTTCAAAGAAACTACTCTATTTAGGCAGAGAGGACCTCAAAACTCTCACTGAGTAATACACGGGACACTGCTCCCTTTGCTGTCACCTCAGCAAAAATTAATTTCTCAGAGACAAGCGTCTGTCGCTGGAGCTGTTGTGAGCTGGAAGAAGAAACGCCAAAACACACTTTCTGCGATTGTGACGCTCTCGTTAGGCGCAGACTAGCGAACTTGAGTGGTACTAACCTTAATCCATTTGAAATTTCGAACAAAACCTGGAAGTACTAGGCTACATTAGAAGTCTTACGATATAGAAACAGAAAATATGCAAAGCCCATGCACAGACCTTTGTTTTAATAAAAGGAGCCTTGGTTATAGTAGCAGATAAGGCGCTATATATATTAATACAAATCTTTCCGATTATTACATAAAAGCTGTTTTGTTAGCAGTGAAAAGCTAGTTGCTACTTAAAAAGCACTTTGCCCCTAAAAGGTGTACAATCTATATACAGTTAGTCAATAAAGTTTAGGTATAGCTAATTTTTTACAATACCGGCAACTATTTTTTTAAAAATATTTAATTTTTCGCTAATTTTTTATAAAAATATGGTTAAATCTACAACAAAAACCCCAAAAATCACATTTCCAAACCTTGTGTAAAATTAAAGAAAATTCCGCAAAATTTCTTTCAAATATTGCACTTTTTATTTACACTGTTCATATATGTTAAAATTGAATGGACTAAAAAACTGCATTCTCAACTTTTTTCTAGAGAGCGTAAATAAATAGTGCAATATTTGAATGAAATTTTGCGGAATTTTATTTAATTTTGCACAAGATTTTGAGCTCTGATCTCTGGGTTTTTTGTTGTTGAATTAACCAAATTTTTATTTTTTAAATTAGCGAAAAATAAAATATTTAAAAAATACTTGCCCGTATTGTAAAAAATTCGCTGTAACCAAACTTTATTGACTGACTGTACTCTACTTATGATGTTTCCTTTTATCCATTGAAGCGATTTTTTCTACTATAATTTGCTTTCTGTTGCGATGCTACTTAATTCGTGATACTAATTTTATGATGTTCCATTAAGTTGCTCTATTCAATGGCCCGAAAAGATGTGAAGAGCTGGTAAGATAGCTTTAACATCTGTAAGAGACAAAAATTAAGTAAATATGAATTTAGAAGAATGAAATTATATTGTTTTTTTATTCCAATACTACCCGCATATAGGTCACCATAGAGATCGCTGTGTATCCATAAGCCTGATACTCGCATGGTTTGTTGGTACGCATAATGAAGAAGATAATCATGCGACGATATTCCAGAGAACCCTCATACCAATTGCTATAGAACGAAGCCGAGCTCAATTTATTGCTCTGTGGAATAAAAAAAAATTTGTGTTCATAATGAACTAAGTACTTGCAAATTTACTAGGAGCAGTGTTCGATTTTATATTTTTTATTCAAGAAAAAAAAAAACTCACCACATCGGTAAGTTCATCGCCATTCTTACAAAATACGTAGCTGAGTATTAAAAAGAAGGAAAAGCCAGCTGAAAACATTACAGCGCGCCCGAATTCGATCATAACCATAGCCAAGCCCATCAAAGATATGGCAAAAGTGGCATTTATTAAGTCCAGCGCGAAGGTAAAATTGAAAATGGAATTGATTTCATTGAAAAGACTGCAAGAGATATGGTTGACAATAATTTTGTTCAATATCTTACGCTCCTAAATCTACGATTAACTCACCGTAATAAGTTTGCGTGATAGCTGATAAGCGTTTTCAGCTGTTTCATGGCATCAGGCGCGGTTGCGTCCAACGTCTCCAAAGCAATGGCCAAATAATCAAAGTGCAATTGCATTTGTGTATTAAAAAAACCAAAAAGATATTCACCACACATTATAAAGTTGATGCCGGCAAATTCTGCTGATGCTTGTACGAGATAGTTGAAAATGAATCCAACAAAAGTGGAATGCTTATTGTGATTATGCCACGGAAACCAGGCGTTCGATTGCGTTTTGTAAGTAACAGTTTGATTTGGTGACAATATTTCATAAATAAGTTGTAGTATCGGTATCATATTATAGTAGAAGTAGGCGAACGCAAAGTATTTAGTCATAAATCGCATTCTAGCGCGTGATTTTTCTTCAAAGTAGGCGAGGCGATAGTAGCCACCGGCTGTAAAGGTTACGAGAAAACATATTGTAATACGGGTATGGTACAAATTATAGGAATTACGAAGATTAAAAAGAGAAAATGAATATGTTAACTGTATGCATTGTTGCTAGACCAGTGATGCTCAAAACAGCGCCCGCGGGCTGAACTCTTCAAAGTTCTCTAGGTTTTATATGGACTCGTACAAAGTAAAAGCTCTCTCTGAGCATCACTTTGGTAGACGTATGAAAATTTTGGCGCTAATTTTTTGGTTGCAAAGATAGATTAAAGATTTTGAATAGATAGATTAAAGATTTTGTATATTCTGATATTACAAAAAAAGCTCCCTTGCCAACTTTTATCATAAAAAGTTCTTTTGCCAGAAAGCACTTGAGCATGTGCCAAATGGAGAAGAAAGATAATAGGTACGATAGTTTGAAAGATTTTGTTTATTCTGATACGAAAGTCTTACAAAAAGAGCTCCCTTGCCAACTTTTATGATGAAAAGCTCTTTTGCTAGAAAACACTTGAACATGTTTCAAATAAAGGTGGAAAGACAGTAGGAAAGATAGTTTGGAAGATTTTTTATTCTGGCATAAAAAAAAGCTCCCATGGCAACTTTAACGATGAACAGATCTGTTTGATAGAATGCACAGCTTTCTAAACGGTTCATAAGGCTGGTCCAAAAATGCATGTGAAAAAGTAAAGTCGGAGTTTTTATGCTCTCACCCCTAATATTGGTCTATAACAAAAAAAATTTACATTGTACATATGTATATAATTTGCTCGCGCTGCTCCAACAGCCGCATTTGCCGAGTGAGAAGAGCACTGGCGTACCATTCGAGAGATCCGGGGGTTCGAGTCTTCGTGTTTGAATTGGTTTTTTTTTCTTATTTTTAAATTCGGTAGTACTTCTTTAATTTTTAATTTATTTTAAAGGGAAACATATATATTTTTTAGTTTAACTTAATTTTTAGACACATATTCTATGTTTTTTTTCAACTCAATTTGGTTATCATAATTCAGTTTTCTTTTCCTCTTAATTTAATTTAATTTTCTTATTTTTTGCTAAGATTTCATTTTTTTAAACAAACCGAGTTCTTAATTTTTTTCTTATTCTAATAGAACTTTTTTAAAATATATTTTTTTTTAATTCTAAATAATTTTTAGGAGCTTGATTGATTTTTTCTTCTTTATAATTACAATTTTTATTTCACTACAATTAAATTTTCTTTTAATATTTAGACTTAATTGTTTAAAATTTAATATACATATACATTTCATAATTTCGAAAAATTTTTAGAAACTTTTTTATGTATTTGTTTAACTTTTTTCTTGTAAAATTTTATTTTATCTTAAATTTTTAATTTTAGAAATTTATATGGTTTTTCTGACTCCCTTTTTCGTTTCTTCCTTTTTTAAGAATTCTTTTTAATGTTTAGATTTCAATTTCTGAAAAAGAAAATCATTTTTGTGTTAGTTTCATTTAATTTTAAGGATTTTTTTTTAAATTTTTTGCTTCTCTAATATTTTTTTTTAATACATGTTTTTTTTTTCATTTCATTTTCATTTTCATTTTTTAGAAACCGATTTTGTTATTTTTTCTTCTTTTTGATAAATTTTTCCTAGTGCTAGTTAAATTTTCTTTTAATTTTGAGTCTTTTTTTATTTTAAAACGAAAAATATAATTTTTAGAAGAAATCGAAAAAAGCTTTCAAGAGAGTTGCCAGAATGTCCCTAACAATAACATTGTATTGATAATAGGCTGTTATTTCACTCGCCCTTTGAGCAAACTGTAATTCCCAACCAAATTACTTAATACTTTTTGCACCTGAAAAATTATGATGTTTCCATAACTCTCTAATGAAATATCTCTCTCCCTCTCTCTTTTTGATAGATCCCAGTTTTAAACTACTCATAAAAAAAACTTGAAAGAAAGCTAGTAAAAATTACACTTACATCCCCTCTTTGGTTCAGTTTTATAATCACTGGCTTCAGCAAGCTTCTTCTGTATAACAACGCTCGGAAATAACTCATTGAATTTCTCCAAGAGTGGACCGATATCCTTGCGTCGCCAAAAGATGTTCCACATTTTGTACAAGCAACAAGAAAAGTAGCAAATTAATGCGGTTGCCTCAAACACTTTCGATTCACTATTTTCATATGCCTCAGCCTCTGGTGTGGTATGTGGCATATACAAATTGCAGAAGAGTGCCATAATTTGTCCCACCAAGGTAAATAAACCGAATATGTAGATGCAGTGCTTTATGTAATACCAAGCAGTCGGCTGATGGCGGTGACGATTGCCACTCCAGATGAATGGCTCAAAAAAGGCCCACTTGAAGGCAAGTTCAGGGTATGTAAGAAATTTTTGTAATTTATAAACTTGAAAAGGCATGCTGAAAATGAGAAAAAGAATCCATTGCCTCTCAATGTCCTTTTCAGTTTTTGAGGGTGAAAAAATTGCGCTTTTTTGGCTGTAGTTTAGGCGTTTTATTTCGAAGTCTTTGTTAAATTTTGACTTGCTGTGGAAATGTGATTTTATTTAAGTTTTTGACTTTTCACAAAACACAAGTAATTCACTTTGTTCCTTTGTAAAATTACACAAGTAGTTTTACATATTTAGTTAGTTAGTATTCCTCTCACAAGCTATTCAATCAGGCGACAACAAAGTCAAACGAACTAAAATATTTTGCAATTTTGCTTGCAATTCCTTTTATATAACAAAATTTTCTAGCTTTGCAAGTATGCTTTTGTTTTGTGCCTGCATCCTTTTGTGTGTGCGTGTGTGAGTATGTGTGTGCCTTTTGCTGTATGCAATTTTCTGAGAAAAGTTTGTGGTTTTTCGTTGGATTGATTAAATTTGCAACATTTTAATTGCAACTTGAATGTGCGCAAAATGGGCAGATAGTAAATATTTGGTGGTTGGATTGCCTTTATTTTCACATGTCCTTTGCTAAGATTTTTTGCTTTGTGGTTTTCTTAATTGCTTAACGAGTTGCAGCTGGACTTTCCATTGTTTAGCGATGATTGCTTGTTAATTGTGTTTTTTTTTTTATTAGACATTGCGGGCTGTGGCAATTAAATAAAAAAAAATGCATTCACTATGAAATGTTTCAAATGACAATGATTCAAAATGCTTTTTTGCATTCCTATTCATATTTGAACTCTTATTTGAATTCGTACTCACATTTGCATTGCTATTCGTAATTGCATTTGTATTGGTGCACGTTGTTATTATTATTCGCATTCGTGTTCATACTTATATACGCATTAGCACTTGCATTCCCATTCGCATTGATGCACATACTAGTACTCGTATTCGCATTGGCCATTCCCATTCGTTTTCTTATTGCTAGACGTATTCGTACTCGAATTCTTACTCGTATTCGTAATCGTATTATTATTAGTAATTGTATTCGCACTCGTACTTGTACTCGTATTCGTGTTTGTATTCGTATTGTATTCGTACTTGAACTTTTACTTGTACTTGCATTCGTGTTTGTATTCGGTTATGTATTCGCCTTAGTACTGGTATTCGCATTCAAATTAATGCACATACTCGCATTTGAATTGAAATTGGAAATCGGAATCGAATTCATAATGATACTCGTTTTGGTATTCACAATCCTCCTTGCTTCATATCCGCACTCTTATTCAAAATCGTATTTGGAATCGTATTCGAAATAGTAATCATATTAGTACTCGTACTTTTACTCATATTCGTGTTTGTATTCGTGTTTGTATTCGTACTTGTACTTGTACTCGTATTCATATTTGTATTCGTATTGGTATCCGAAGGGCGAAACTTTACTCTGCTGATGCATAAAATATACGTTTATATAAGGTTTCGCTTACAGCATATAAGGCTACACACTCTTGTATGTTAGTTGAGAATTGCTTATCGTGACACCCAATTGTGATAGCAATAATACAGGCTCTTTAGACACTTCTTTTAACTTTAAGTGAAATTAATTCATCCTTCTGAATAAGGTCACAAAATCTTAAATTCCAAGTGTACTCAGTTCAGAGGTTCAGAGCCAATGCTCCACAAACCAGACATCTATGAAAAAGGTAATTCGACTATAGATTCATTCTGCTAGCTTGCGTACCCATCGAGCAGTGGTCTGTAAAAACCCCGTTTACATGTCGAAGCAGTGGTTGGGCCAGTAGTTGGAAAGGCGAGCCCGGTGTGGTGTAATAACCTACATGTGGCCTCTGCACACCATTCGTTATTAGGAACCACCTGTATTGAGAGGGGCACTGATCATAAACAAGGTGATTTATTTCCTCCTGTTTGTGGCCTGGTACCCATACTCAAAGTGTGGAGTGACTAGTTGTCAGCTAACTTGGGGTAGACACCCATCCGACATTTCCTACGGAAGCGGGTATCCTAGCCGATGAGTGGGACAAACTTCGTCAGGCCGACTCCGGAATTCTCCGATCTTAACATGGAGATACGGCATCTTGTGAACGTATATAAACGGAAGAAGTGGGAAGAGCATATGAAGACTTGTAACTCCACCTCTGGTGTGAGCAAGTGACCGTGAGGTCACTGTCAAACCTAACAATGCGCGACGACAGAGTGGAAATCTCTTTCGGTGATCGTGCTTCATAGGACCCGAAGCTATGCGCGAACTACTCTAGCCGACAGTTTACGCCGCATCCTCCGGTGCTCAAAGTCAAATGTCGAGTGACCAGAAGGCTGCACAAACTTCCAACACCAAGTGCGCCCATTGCTTTCAACAGCGGGAGGTCCGGGTAGCCATCGGCCAAGTAAAAGTTATTGGAACCGACGGGATATATTGCTGATGATAAAAAAATTTGGTTCTGCTGGAGTAGAATATCTCAGCAAAGTCATCATTCAAGATAGCCGGGGAAACCGACAAACAAAGGAGAGTCTTAACGTCCGACAACCCTGCTTTTCCCGGTAGAAGAGACCCTTAAGGCCTTGCTACTCCCGAATTACACATACCACCTGATGCCAGCGGGGCGTTGGTTCTATCAAAGTTGCTTGACTCCGTCAGCCACTACACGGTGCTAGAAGATATTGCGGTTTTCTCTCTGCCACAGGGCCTAAAAAGGTGGTCAGCGAACTACCTGAGTGGTCTACATTTATGAGTCAGTAAACCGTGAAAATTTAGCAGGGGGTTCCACAGAGTGGAATCCTTTCCCGCTGCTGTTACATTTAAAAGCTCCCTCAATCACTACAGGGAGTCTCAACTGTCTCGTATGCTCAAGATTGCTCGGTAATGGCGTCCGGGAATGAAATTGATGACTTACGCTTAAAAGTAAACGGTTACCTCTCCGAACTTTCTCGGTTCTTTCCTGTCCCCTACGGAATCCTCGGCAACCCTGAACCAACTGAACGAAGGAGATCAGACTATAGCTGGGTATTCACATCGATGTCGAGCCTATTCCGGCGGTGGATAAACAAAAAATTCTCGGAGTTACCTTCGACAGTCTGCTCTCCTTCTCGACGCATAAACGGCATTCACAGGGATTCGGTCTCAACCTACATCGACTACTGACCCGTGAATACCGTTTTTGTCATTTAACCACCCGACGTGGACGGGACAGAACTGTGTCTGCCTCGGGAGACTCGCACCACTATAGCCCAACTTCGCGTTGGATACTGCAGCAGGTTAAACTCGTACTTCAGCAAAATAAACGCAAATGCGCCCAACGAGTGCCCGACATGCAGAGAGTCACCGCATGAGCTTGACGACAACGACTGATGGACAAGGCGATCTAGGTAGGACTAAGCCACTGCAACAACAACAACGCCTTTAAGATACTGCATTACAACTTGCGTGTAGTTTCCCATATAAATCTACTGGTAATAAGTAAAGCTAGGTTTCTAAGGTTTTTGTGGCGCCTAGACACACTACTTTGATACTGGGATTAAGAATTCATCCACCTGAGGCTGACGCAATGTCAAAAGTGCGATTTGCTTAGAGCCGTTCTTTCCAATAGTAAGGTATCTTTAAACTGGATTGGGTAAAATAGCTGAGTGCAATTCATGGCAGAAAAATGTACAGGAACCGCAGCCACGAACAACACTCCAGGTAAGCTATAACCGACACAGAAGAATACCGTTACCGGGATTATCCTTATGCCCGATTTGTCAACACAACACAAAAAATAGTTTCAAAATACATCATCTTCTCAAACCCGTAGCGTTACAAAATATATGCCAGCAGACTGTTATAGGAATGAAATGGAGTTCTAACCCTCAGCGGTTGTTCTGGTCATTCTCTCTTGCGGAGTCGACGTATCGTGACGTGCTTTAAATAAGTCTTAGGTGCAACGGGCTGCCGTATGAATTTTCTGCCTATAGAGCTGTACGGTAAACACCCGGAAAGACCTTTGCTCACTCGAGTAGCATCAGCACTATTCCAGTAGCTCCTTCGAAGACAAAATGCCCACTACAATTCATGGCAGAGACGAGAGGTGCAGCTGCACGAGCACTTTTTCTTTCGCTGCTCCGTCTGAGCATCTTGGCTCTGTGAACATCCGCGGTCTTCAATGCTTCCATTATATGGGAACGTAAAGGAATGAATTAAGAGCTCACTCATACGACCTCAAGATGAGCCAAACTGGCTTCGAAAATGAACTTTTTCTCTTAATCTCGTAACCTTATTAGCTGAAACGGTGAATATGAAGTGACACAACGCCATATTGTAATAACAAAAAAGTTGTACATACCTACATATGTATGTCTGCTGCTGTCAGCTGCCAGTCATAATTAATTAAGAGTCAAGAAAGTCCATAAACGACATATAATTACAGCTAAACGCTTTTGTATCAGCCTACTTAGTAGCTTAGTACGAGTAAATATAAGTAACAAATAGGGAGCAGACTTCAGCTTTGGTAAGAACGTCGGCCACAGGCTAAGTATTCTTGGAAATAGAACAAATTTGAAAGAAGCCTGCATTAGTCGCTAAAATTACGCGCGCAAACGAAAGTAGTCCAATTACAGGATAGTTAAACAAAGCATAGACAAATACATATATTTCACTCAAACTAAGTTGTAGTCAATTACATAACAAACAAGTTGGTCGGTAGCAGATAAATAAGTTTCCCAATTCTTTGTTGCTGTCTGAAATAAATTCAGTAGCGACTAACGATGACCAGAAAATCAACAACAAATAAAACGCTGACAAGAACATCTAGCAAAACAAGCCGGTCAACACATGTATTCGCACATAAATACAAACATAAGTCATTAGGCTATCAGTAAAAAAGTATCGTAGTAATCATTGCAACAATAAGTGACAACTAAACTAAATTGAAAGAAATGTCAGAGGCAAATTGGCTTGCCCGGCGTTAAAGTTGTCCACATATCACATGTGAATGCGACATTTATATAAATGTATACAAGCGATGGCAGATATA